TGTAAGACTATTAGGTTCAAAACAAACATAATATTCACGTTGAATATTTTCCGCCACAACAAATTCCAACCACCCTTCATGAAATGCTATCCCATAAGCATCACCTCTCATTGTCACTTCATACGTACGGCCTGCTCTTGTAGTTAGCGTACACTTAAGAGGTACATAGAGCATGTAGTCATGCACAAGACGCGATGGCAGTTTCTGTAGTGCAAGAAAAACATATTAATGTCTCCTATGTTTGTATGTAAAACTTAAAATAACCTACAGTGAAGAACATAATGCAAAATAATTGATTTTACAGAGCATTACCATAGTTCGTTTTGCTGGATTTGACACAATGATAAAAAACCGTCTCAAAGGGTCATCCATAATCAATACCTATGCATTGAGTAAATAAATATATCAGCTATTAAAAATCTGAAAACAATAGAAAGAAAAAGAAGAAAAAAAATTTAATACAACATTAACGGAAATGGAAGTGTAAAGTTTACTTTAAGAATCAATAATATTAGGAACTCTGCATTATCTGATCATTTATAATGTATTATCTACTTTACACTCATCTTTAACACGACAGACGAAAAATCTTGTTATCATTTCATATTTATCACATCATATGTGTCATTCATAACATGTTATCTACAGTTAAATAATAATCAAACACTTTAGGCTCTGAGCAGAAAATATAAAATGATGTTCCATATACTTCTGTACATGTAACATCTAAAGAGTTAAGTCCACAAACAAAATGTGAGATCAACTTTAGTTATACATAAATTTCCCTGTGCATATTGGTAAAATTCACAACATTAATCCAACATTTTGACCACAAATATATGAACTAAATTATAGAAAAAATTAAAGATGTATGTCCTTAAATGAACAGCTATTTTGCACCAATGATGTTGAACACAAAAAAATTAGAAATATAAAAACCAACATGCCATAAAATTAAATGCCATTTGATTCGGAACTGTTCATCTTCCTGTGAAAAATTAAACCAAAGTAAATACTTACCCCATAAAATGAAAATATTGGAAAGCTTTTTCCAGAATAAAATATGTGCACATATGAAACAAAAGAATATGAAATACTGATGAATGAAATAGAGTGATTAACACTTATAAAATGTCAAATCTCAATGTAAGAGATAGAGTGTTTCTATTAATTAAACATGCTGTAATTTTACATCTCACAAAGCAAATGCACTGCAGGACAGGATTCCCAGATGAGCACAGCAAACTTAGATGAAAAAATAACAAAAAATTTTGAAGAAAAAAAATGGATGGGGGGATAAATTCAACTTAACCCATCGAAGAAGGAGAAGTATAAATAGAAGAGTTTGAAGAAAATTCGATTAAGAGATGGTAATTATGCAGTTAAGAAGAGATTTGACAGGTAAGTTAAATATACGAAGTTCCTTCACTCTCCAGCAATTCTTTATCCGACCAAAAGTTAAATACACGAAGGGCCTTCACTGAGCAGAAAGAAAAATATTACCTTTTGCAGTAAAATAAAAAGATGAATTGAAGGTATTTTTGTTGTACCTGGGAGAGAAAGAAATAAGAGAGAAGAGGGCGGAGTGTTCTAAAGAGAAGGAGAAACAGATCTATACAGATATTAATGACCTATTTTTTTTTCATTTTTTATTTATAATTTTATGTTTTGTTTTTCTTTTTTCTTTTTACCTTTTATTTTTCATTTTTGTTTTGTCAACTTCCTTTTTGTTTTTTTTCCTTTATCGTAAAATTTAAGCACACAAACACACTTATATTATATATTGCATCGACTAAAATTAAACAGTTTTTTACTTATTATTAGATACGGCCGAAAATTTGATCACGACTAACTCAATGGATAAGGTAAGAACTATACAACGAATATTATGAAAAGCATAAAATTAGAAATGAAATACCATTGAAGAATTATTAAAATTAGGTTGAAAGTGCGAGGAGAAGAAGCTATAAAAGTGTTTAAATTACTACTGTGTGGAAAAAAAATTCTACTGAAAATGTAAGAAGACACTATAGTAAGCCACATATATCATATTAACTGGGTACCACACAAAATGCGATATACAAGTTTGTCGTGCAATGTTTTAAAGCATTCTTAGTTACAATAGGTAATATGTAAAAACATGAACATTAATATTTACTAAGTTAGAATTGGCATTCAAACTTAGCACATATTAATAATAAAGTTCAAAAGGAAGTCTGAGCAAAATATGCACACAAAAGGTTGGGTGGCAAAAACACAGATTATGCACGAGATCTTTAACTGTTAGTTGTAAATGTGGCTTCTACACAAAAGAAGGGCTCTTTGGGGATTTGTGCCGTCATGCATCATTTTTTTGCCGTTTAGCTGAACTTGCAGGTGCTGGTTCTTCAACAGGCTTACCAGTTTCAATTTCCCTTGTATTAGGTGCTGCATTTGTTTGGAGATCAAAGTT